CTGATCTTCTACAAAAACATGTTTCAGCCCAAGCTGCTTGTTGGCTGCAAATGTCCCTTTGAATGATGAGTATTTGTGATTTGAGCAGACACTGGGGACACTGCATACTGGTTTTGCTCTTTAATTCGGTAGAGGTGTCTCCCTAGATCAGCTTTGCGGTGCAGATGCTGTTTCCCACCACCCATCTCTCTCCTGCTCCTCCCACTGCTTAAGTTTTTCACCAGGATTCACCCCTCAAAACAATGAGGGCAAACCAGAGCAGAGTTGTGTCATAATTCAAGCTGAAAAAAAATTCCATGACATTTTAGACCTGAATATTCAGCCTGGGAACAATGATGCTGCAGTGGCCGGGGTGTTCCGGCTTTATCTGAAACAGGAGGGCTCAAGGTGCCCTAAGATAAATATTATATTTATATAGCTATAAATTATACATATCCAAAATGGGAAGGAAAATCGGATGTGAGGTCAAAAGAAGGAGGGAGCCCTGGATGTCACCAGGGTCTCTGTTTTACACCGCGGGATGCTCGGGGCCCCATCGCAGCTCACCTGCAGCTCTGCCTGCTCGCCCAGCACCCTGAGCAGGGTGATCTGCTCCTCGTCGCTGGCCGTGATGCGGAGGACCTGGTCCCTGCAGGGAGGCAGAGCCATCAGCACATGCGGGAGGGATCGCAGGAAGGGGGGGGAAGGAGCTGAGCCTCCAGTGCTGGCGTGGCCTCATCACAGGCTGGGTGGAGGCTGTGAAAGATCTACACTGGCTCAGTGGGTTGGAAAGTGCATCAGTTGTTGGAGGTTTGGTGTCGAGAGCAAAAAATGCAGGTTCAGAACAGCCACAATGGGAAAAAGAGCAAATGCCAGAGAACCCATGGTGGTCTCCATCCTTGCTTTGATCACGAGAGCTCCCCAAATGTTAGGAATTATCTAACATATAGAAGTTTCCTAACATAGCCTCTGCTCCAGCCCAGCTGGGCTCCCCGGGGGATGGCTACAGCCCCCAGCAGAGAAGGAAACACTCTCCTTCCCCAGCAGCAAGGTTTCCCTATCTCAGTTCAGTCCTTCCCCTGGAAAAGCTCGGGGTGATGCTCTCAGGATTTAGCATCCCCTAATTTCTACCCACTGCAGTGGCCAGGAGGGTCCGCAAAACCTCCCTCCAAAGCTGGGGTGAAACAACATCTTTCCTGGTGTCCATGCGGCAAAAGCTGATGGATTTCTCTCCTTCAAGATTTCACCCTTCTCACTGACCCCAGAGGAGGGCAGACAGGGCTGGACATCCCTCACCCCAGTCCCCATCCCCAAGCAGGGCACCCCACCACCCCCTGCTTTTGGCAGGACTCACCCCACGAAAAGCTGCTCGCTGCAGGTGGCCGCCACAAGGGCGGAGGAGGCCCCGCTCGAGGGGGCTGCCACAAGGGCGGCGAAGACCAGGAGGATCTTCATGCTGAGTGGATGCCGACAAGCCTCAGCCCCCGAGGGCGTATACAGCCCCCCCTATACAGTGCTCTGGGGGCACTCGCGGACCTTCTCACCAAGGCCACAGCTGCTGTCCCTGCAGAGCCAGCAGCAAAAAAAGAGATAAGCCAGGAACAGCTCCCGGGAGCCCCAATGTTTGCTTTATTTGGCGAAGTCAATAAAAGAGCAGCCAAATTAGGAAGGATCTGATAACGTCTTCCTTGGCGTTCGGGTTCTGCCGGGGAGGACGCGTGCCCGTGCACCCAGCTTGGTGCGAGTAGGCGTCATGGTCACAGTCACCACCTACGGAGGTGACCCAGCCCGCGGGCGTGGGATGGTGGCAATGGTAGGGTCATAAGACCCCATAGTACACAAGGACACGGTGCTTTGTTTCCATGAATTTATTACAGATTACTCTTACTAAGTACAATTATGATTAATAAAGCAAGTGTATATTACAAGTTGCTACAAAATCACTAGCAGAAAAGCAAGTATCTATACATAAATACATATTTATGATTAATTACTTCTATGCGCACCTATCTATCTTTATATAAAATTCAAAATATATCATTCAAATTATTACCAGTGCCGTTCATCAAACTGCTCCCAAGAGTGGGGCCAGTTGACGATGGATGAAGTCTCACTTCAAAGACGACGGGCATCACGGAGCCAGGCGTCCCTGGCGAGGGTCCGAAGGGTCGCACAGGGACGTTCACCCAGCGGTAATGCTTGGCAAGAGAGAGAGAGGGGCTCGTTTTGGGGTAGAAAGTGAGTTATTTTTATGTCTTTAGTGTAGATACATGTGTGGGCGCAGGACAGCAGCTCCTGGAGCAGCCGTCGCTGACTTCTGCTGTCTTAGGAGGTCAGTTTGTTATAGTGGTTTCTTTGTTCCGCAGGTTATAGCAGCGTCTTTGTTCCGCAGGTTATAGCAGTGTCTTTGTTGTGCCCTTATCTACGATGGCCCTGAGCTCCCACCTGTGCTTGTCAAGGATGTTCCAGGTTCCCGGGCCGGGTTCCCAGGCTGGCAGACATTGTCTCGGTCAGTTTTTTAGCAGACAACTTCTAACCATGGTTTTTTTCCCCATTAAAACCAGGTCGTCTTTCTGGCTGCACTGACAACAGGGTGTGCTCCGGGAAGGTGCCACAGTTGGGGGGGCCATTACGGCTTCATAATGCGGAACCGGTGATGGTGGTGAGCTGGGCCTGGCTGGTGGTGCCGGGGTAGAGGTTCTCACTGAGGTGGGATCATGGAGTAGTTGAGGTGGGAAGGGACCACCCGAGGTCTGTATCCAACCTTCTGGACAAAGCATGGTCAGCTCTGGGGGCAGACCAGGTCCCTCCACGTTGCATCTTGGAGTCCTCCAAGGATGGAGGCTGCACAGCCCCTCTGGGCGATGTGTCCCACTGCTGGACTGTCCTCCCAGTGGAAAAACATTTTCCGATGTCCAGCCTGTCTCTCTCTTGCTTCAGCTGACGCCATTGTCTCTCCCATCATGCTTTGTAGTGAAGAGCTTGGCTCCGTTTTCTCAATAACCCCTTCACAGGGACAGAAGGGTCCCTGTTAAGTCCCCCCACCCCAAAGCTGTCTCATCTCCAGGCCAAACCAGCCCATCTCCCTCAGTATCCCATCATCGGACACATCCTCCTGTTCCTCTTGGTGGCCTCCATCGGTCTTGCTCCAGGTCTTTTTGGTGCCAGGGGTCCAAAAACTGGATGCAGTTGTCAGCAAGACACACACTTACAAGAAGAGGGCCCAGGTGGCCTCAAGACCTGGATGGTTGGATGCAGCTCCAAAGCCAGGGCGAGTCCACAGGTCTACAACCCTGGCCGAGGCTCCTCGGGCTCTGCAGCTCCTGCCCACCACTTGTCACATGGTCCCTGCTCTGGTGGCAGCAGGTCAGCCAGATCCAGGAGCCAACCACGTGCCCTGGGCCCTCCCCGTCAGCAGGGTTTTACCAGCTGTATTTTTATCACCAGCTGGAGGACGGGATTTTGGAAGGGTGGGTCAGTTTGGGAAGCAGGTGCCACCGGATGGGGCTGTGAGTGGAGGGGACGGAGACACATGTGGGGAGCACCGGCTGCACCGTGCTCATGTTTGCTTTCCAAAATGCTACACTTAGCCCAAAACCAAACCCATGTGGTGCTTCCCGATGCCTCAGCTGCACCTTCACCTTCCTTTCCCTGCCAACAGCCTCATGTCCTTTGAGTCCAAACTAACATTTTACCCACTGCGTCAGGCGCGTTTGCTCTCCTGCCAAGCTCACGGAGGAGTAACTCACCAGCTGCTGGGGGGATCACAGGACATGGAGATAAACCTGTTAGACTGCAACGCTAATTCAGTAATCGCCACAACAGCAGCAGGGATTGCTAATCTCTGATCCTTCGGTGGCTCCCGTGCATGGCCCTGAGCTCTTTGCTCTTAATCCCCAAGAAATTAGCAGGCTGAACAACAGAACGAGGGAGGGAGGCTCTTGAGGGACTGCGGACTGGCTGTGCTGGATGAGAGCAGGCATCCTCCCACCGTCATCCTCCCTCTAACCGTGCCCACTGGGCAAACCAGGGAGGGAGAAAAGGGGCAGGACAAATATATGGGATTTAGGGCAGGAGACCCCCTCCTCCCACCAGCGGTCAGTGGTCTGGCAGTGTCCTGAGGCTCGTTAAAAGAAATTAAATTCCTTTAATCAGTCTCACAGCATGGATTATGCTGCTTAACATCAGGCCCTCTGCACCAGCCTGTTCTGCCCCCAGAAGCGAGCTCTGTCAGAGTCCCCAGGTTTACAAAAGCAGCAACACAGAACTGTTACGCACAAAAAAAAAAAAAAAATCTCAAACCAGCCACTAGACGCTGCCAGAGTGGAGCATAAGGCAGGCTCGTGTAATGCCCCCACCTGTAGCTACGCTGCAGTAGTGTAGCAATTAACTTTCCAGATGACCTAGCTTCTCAGTTCAAGTGCTTCAAGTGCTCACCCCACTTTCAATCCACAAATTTCAGAAATACTTTAGAAAAACCTGCACCCTCACCACCCTGGGAGCCAGTTTCTGCACTGGTGACAGGGCTGGTTGCGAGGAGGGGGTCACCGTGTGGGCAGGGAGGTTTACAGGAATACAACACACTGCTAAGGGCTAGCATTGCTCAGAGCAAATGCATTTTGCATTTACTAAGAGAGATGGAGGGGCAGAGGGCAGAAGGCAGGATAGTTTGCAGCAGTCACGAGCCAGGGGACATCTCCTCCTTTCCCAACACTCCCTTCTGCTCTTAGATTTAACCTCTGCACTGACGCAAGTCCCTCAACTGACTTCTTGTTTATCTGGGTGGGAAAAAGCCCACTCTCTTCATCTCACCAGCGGTCATGCTGACATCTCAGTAGCCACACAAGTGGTCACATCTTCCATCCGCCTTTTGTCACTGTTCCTACCATGTCTCATTGAGGTGGACTGCAACCAAGTCCTAAAATCTGCAGTGCCTTCTACGGGGTCTACCGTACACAGAGAGATGCAGTGAACAAGACAAGCACAAAACATCTTTTATACACGGACACATATTGCCGTAGGAAGGTTGCACACAGAGTTTTTATTCAGCCAAGTGCCATACCGTTACAGCTGGCTCAAGCGTGCCAAGGGAAGAGGATTTGTGGGCTTGCTGCTACAGCCAGCTGATTCCCACCCCAGCTTTTAGTATGGATTGTCTCGCACGTGCTCCATGATTTTTTTCAGACCCAGCCAGGTCTCCTCTGCAGTTGGGATAATTTGGTTGGCTGGCAGGAGGAAACCGTAGTGACCTGTGTCTCGCAGCTCAAAGGCAAAAGAGTATTTGATGCCATAATCGTAGCTCCAGTCAATGCTGCCTCCACTGGCTTGGTCTGAAAGAGAAAGGGAGAAGAGCCAGAGGATCGATTTGAGTTCTGCTGTCCTATGTTTCATATTTGTGAGGGAAACGCATTAGGTTTTTTATGCGAACACTCAGCTCCGATGTTTGACTGGTGGTGTCACTCTCCAGAAGCATCACTGCTTCCAAGAGGAAGAGACCTTGTGGGTGGGACAGACACTATTGTCCTGGGACAGCCCATAAGAGCTCAGCCTAGCAAAATACTCACAGATAGTACTGCAAATGCTCCCCACTGTAAAGGTGGTGCCATACAGGGACTTGATGGAACTGGCAGCAGCTCTTCCCAAGGCATCCTGGAGAGGAGAAGATGAAGGACAAGTCAGAAAGTAGCCACGTTTAATGAGGCTAAATGTTACGATTTCACCAACCGGAACCATACTCAGGGAAATCTCCACAATCTTTCGGAAAATCTCCAGTCTTTCACACCCCTCAATAAACCAGTGCCACATCTTTCACTTCTTAATCACTCATGCTAGTGACAGCACTCACAGTTTCCACAATATTTTTGGGAGGTGACATGGCAGGTGAATTGAATCATAGCAGGTTCTACGTCTGATCATCCAGTGTTTCAGCTCACCAACTGTCTTGCCAAGAGAAGGTTCAAGAGATACCAGAAAATCCCAAGGCAGTCAGAGATATTCCAATAGTCAGTGGTCAGCTTTGTGCTCACTTCAACTACCTAATGGGTGGTTGTAGAGAAAACGGAGCCAGGCTCTTCTTGGAGGTGTAGGGGAAAAGGATGAGTAGCAACAAATAAATTGCCACAAGGGAAACTGCATTTAGGTATTAGGGAAAAAGAAAATCCCCATGAGAGCGGGGAAACTTTGGGAAGGGCTTGAAGAAACTGTGGAATTTGTCTTTAGAAATATCAAACCAAATCAAAACAATCAAAATTCAGCTGGGCAACGCCCTAAGCAACCCAATCCAAACTTGAAATTGGCTCTGACTCCAAAGCCTGTCTGCTTTCAGCAGAGGGTTAGACTAGAGACTGCCAGAGGTCTTTTCCATTTGAATTATGATTGAGATCTGTATCGCCTCAAATCATCAGCTGTGATGCTGTCATTAAAGCAGAAAGAAGCAAACGTGGACAAGCAAAGAGGGCTGAGAATGGGTGGGTATGGCACGTGTTGCATATGACCAAGATTTCTCTTTTAAAGGCATTGCAATGCACCAGGGTTTTGTTCGCTCTCACGGATGGTTACTGTTATGGATGGCAGAGATTAGCCTCGTGTTTTAATCCTGATATCTCACTGTAATACTTGAGCATAGAAAGCCAGCTGGACAGAACAGAGGGAGCTAAAGCCAAGTCATTATGTCTCACCAGCTCAGCGTAGTCTGCTGGCTCAGTGCATTTATAGCCATAGGGATACATCAGGAGCTGAGAGTAACTGTGGAGGGTGAGGAAGGCCTGGATGTTTCCGTGATTCTTAATAAAGTCAACAATAGATTTAACTTCCACTTCTGAGTTGGCACTGGGCCCACGGTAAGAGTCAGAGCAGGGATTACTACTGGCCCCAGGACCTGTTGGTGCAAAGGAGGAACAAAGGCAAACCTGTAAGAACTGGCATTCATGAAAGGTCAAAGAGGACCAACACAAAGACGGGCTTTCCAAAGAACAGTTCTTCAGCCAAAGGCAAGGCCTTAAGCACTGATAAATGCTTGAACAGCTGTGACAGAGCATGAATACTCAAGGGACACACTTCTAGAATGTACAGATTACTTCCTTCATCTTGTGCTCACCGGCATTTAATAAATGCGAAATTATCCTTACAAAAGACAGCTACCATCCTATTTGACCATTTTCTTTCTGAATCCTTTATATTAAGGCGATTGCTGGTCCTGTGTAACAGGATCCAGGACCATGAAAGGGAACTTTCTTCTTACTGACAGACAGAATCCAAAAGCTTTATTCCTACCTCCAAAACCTGCATCCCAGTTCCTGTTTGGATCAACTCCAACACATGGACTGCCTCGATTCTTGGAGCGGGTCTTCCGCCACATGCGATTCTAAAACAAACACACACTATGGCTTTGAAAAGGAGCAAATCCTGGTCCTTGCAGTAAACCTGCTACCCAGAAATAGTTGTCATTCACCAGGAAGAGATCCCAGTCACAAGCCTAAGATTATTTCTGATGGGCTGACTGCCAAGATGGGCCAATGGTCAAAAATTGAAGGGCTGGTGAATTTACAGTGAGTTAAGATGGGTTAGACAAGTAATTAGTATCTTTGGCTGCCCAACTCCTTTGTAACTCCTTCTTACAGCATTAACAAATGGACTTTCAGACCCTACTTCCCTCATACTTATTGTTCGCTTGGAAGAGCATGACAGCTTTCTAAATTGGCTTAGACACAGAGCATGCTTACTCACTGTGGTGTGAGTGAATACATATCCATCAGGGTTTGTGACTGCCAGCAGGAAAATGTCCATTTTGTTCAGCAGAGAGGTGATGGATAGATCCTTCCCATAGTCAGAGGCAATCTAAGCAGAGACAATATGGTACACTGTGATTATCAGCATGTTTCTTTCCCACGTGCTTACACTCTAACAGCTAGGAACAGAGGCAAGTCTGGCTTTCGGGGCAGGCAAACAAGAAATATTAATTATCTGTTGACCATAACTGTTCCTTGTTAGACTTGGAGCTTAGAGAGAGCAATGAATCTGTTTTACTATTTTATTCTGAAGACAGGAAGTTAATGGAAGAGGGCAACAAATTTTTCTCCTGCCTGTCCCAGAGAATGGGCCAAGCCTGGCACTAAGATTGAGAAAGATTAGCCAGGTTGGGGATATACACCTGTGCTGCACTTCTCTGGTGGCCTCACCATTTTCAGCAGAATTTAAATATTCATTTACATAGAGCTGGAAGTTTTTACCCTTTCGTGGAAGGTAACCAACCACACAGTGTTCCTCTGTGTTGGCAGACTGAAGCAGCCAACTAATCTTCTCAAAGTCCTTGGTTATTTGTATAACTATCAGCTCTGCAGTCCTCAACAATTTCACCTGAACTACGACATTTTTGTCTCCCTAAACCCAGCTGTTCTAACAATACACAGCATTTTTCAATTCTTTCCTTAGGCAGCTGCCATATTCTCTCTGGAGCCGGCTGTGTTTTAAGAGGGGTGAAGGAGAGTTAGCAGAGCTGGCTAAACACATACAGGTGTGATACACTTTTAAATAGTCAGAGGCATTTCCAAGATAAAAGAAAAATCAATCACTGCCAAAGTGACCTTTTTAGCTATCCATATTGCACTCGCTTGGGTAACCCACTCTCGGGAATGGATACCGGCATCAATCCAGATTGCAGGACGGTTTCTTCCTCCAGTGCTGAACTGTCAAACAAAACAGAAAAGTTTTAAAACTCTCCCTGACACCTTTTAGTCAAGAACATCCTGTATAGGCTGGGATGCTCTGGACTGAATTGTGCTGTATCTATAATGAACATGTATATTAGTATATGTATACACACATGTATGCACACATTCTGTGATATATGTCGTACCTTGAGCACATACAAAGGCCGCTTTTCATATGATTGCCCAATCTGGAGCTTACTGACAATGTTGCTATACTCAGCCACAAGATGATCCAGTTCTGCATAAATCTGAAATGAAAAGTCATGATGACATTTACATTACGTTTATGTATAGTACTGCCCAGAACAATCATAGGACCTGATGAAATCTACTTTTCTTTCCTTTTGCCTTCATTACTATGACCTCTCAAAGCCCCATCTCACCTTACGTCAGTGCAGTCAGCGCTCTTCCTAACATCACAAAGTAGAAGGAAGCACTGCTATATCATCAAGATCTAGTTATTTCAGGAAAAAGTTCAAAACCCTCTTTACAAACTTCTGGTAGTAAAAACACCTTACCCTCTGCTCTGCTAGATGGCTACTGCCTTCCTATATTTCCCTATTTCAAGATTCATTTATTTCTCAATCTCTTTTCAGGGTCAGAAGGAAGGCTTTTGACAGAACTCTGCAGAAGAGTTTATGAAAAAGTATGATCAACACTTGCCTGTTCCAACACTCTGTCAGGGAGAGCGCTGGCTCATTGTGCTGACCACAAAATTAATAAATTTAAAAACAAAACCATGTGCCAAAAGAAGCTGGAAAGACATTTTAGATCTTAATATAGGATGTTTGATTGAAGACAGCATGAAAAAAGGCCAGAAAAAAGAATTCTCTTCCCCTAAAGCTGAGGTACTCACGGAATCTAGAGAGTGGTAAGTTCCATAGTTGAAACTGTTGCTGCTGCGCTCCCTTTGTTGACTGTCGGCCATATCTTGCTTTTCTTTATCTAGAACAACCTAAAAGAAGCCGTTCAAAATGTTGAGAAAAGCATGCTTGATTTGCAAACTTCTGACCAAATATTTATCTCAAATAAGGACGTGATGGCGCTGTATACTGTCTCCAGCCCCAGACCCAAACTTCCCACAGCTATGGAGCAAACAGATGCTTCTTCTGAATGTATCTGTAGCAAAGTGGGCAAGAATACCAGTGTTTAAATGGTCAGCATTAAGTTTTAAACACTTCTTAAGAAGAAGAAGAATAGCAATGGAAAGCTTTGGGGGGAAAAAAAAAAGGCAGTGTTTCTTCTGAGCAAATGCTATTTTAGATGCCATTTTGGGATTACCGCTCATGAAGAAATGTCCGATTAGTGCCCATGTGGATGACTTCTCTCACACGGTGGTGTACAGTTCTTTCCGATTATGATCCTGAACTACACTTAACATGGTTTACTGAATTATGAGCAACTTTAGTGTTGTGATTCCCAAACATCTCAGGCCAAAAGACCACATGAAATTCCTCAGGGGTTATCAGAAGAGGAGCCCTGTGGAGCCTATGAGTTTACTGACGTCACTATTCAACATGGTTTCGGATAGCATCCGCAGAGTCATCTCCACAGCTTCCCAGTGCAGCAGCGATCCGCAGATCGTCTTTGAGAAATTAATCCACAGACTACAAAAATAAGGGGAGGACCTCATGGAAAGCAGAGTATAGAAGAGTCTATGAATTAATCAGTGAGGCCAGATTGTGAATCACTATTTGTTTCCCCGGGATTTAAAAGCTAATAATGTGCCAATGGCACTGCCTACCTGCAGGTCTTCAATCAGGATGGAGTACTCAATCCCATGGGACTCCAGGAAGGCTTTGACTGCTTGGACGCTGTTAGCGGGGATTCGCACATCCACAGGGAGGGCAGGGGTGGAGGGATTTATCCAGAAATCAAGCTGAAAAGAGAAAAGAAAATGGATTTGGTTTGAGGAAAGTGTTCTGCAAACAGCTCTTCTAAAGCTTTAGAAATGCTGATTTCTCCCAAACTGAACTCCTGTAGTATTGTGCCCCATCATGCTTACAGCACACTCCATTCTTTAGCTTGGCCTCATAGAATCATAGAATCATTTAGGTTGGAAAAGACCTTGAAGATCATCCAGTCCAACCATTAACCTACACTACCAAGTCCACACTAAACCAGTCAAGGGTAGACTAGACTAAACCATGTCCCAAAGTGCCACATCTACCCGTTTTTTGAACACTTCCAGGTTGTGCCTCACCACAACCTTGTATCAGTTAATGCGACAAACTCACAAAAAAAATAACAAAGGTCTTCACTGACTTCAGAGCTTCAGTTGTATAAGTAAAAGGAAATTTTAGTCTTCTGTGATGATTACTTTACCATTTTCCCCTTTACCAGAAATAGTTTCAAGAAAAGCTCCATGTTACAGCATTAGGTAACATGAAACCCATTGGTTTTATTTTTCCTTTGGTAGGGCTTTTCTAAATTTTCATTTATAGAATCATAGAATCATAGAATTGTTTAGGTTGGAAAAGACCTTTAAGATCATCCAGTCCAACCATTAACCTAACACTGCCAAGTCCACCACTAAACCAGTTAAGGGGAGAGAATAATTTCATGTTTCCTGGCTTGGTGGCTGGATTATTTTTTAATGAAAGTAAAAACTAGGAATCATTAAGGTTGGAAAGGATCTCTAAGATCATCAGTCCAACTGTCACCCCAACACCCCCATGCCCACTAAACCATGTCCCAAAGTGCCACATCTACCCGTTTTTTGAACAGCTCCAGGGATGGGGACTCCACCACCCCTCTGGGCAGCCCGTTCCAATGCTTGACTACCCTTTCCGTGAAGAATTTTTTCCTAATATCCAATCTAAACCTCCCCTGGCACAACTTGAGCCCATTTCCTCTCGTCCTATCACTTGTTCCTTGGGAGAAGAGACCAACACCCACCTCACTACATCCTCCTTTCAGGTAGTTGTAGAGAGAGATAAGGTCTCCCCTCAGCCTCCTCTTCTCTAGGCTAAACAACCCCAGTTTCCTCAGCTTCTCCTCTTAAGACTTGTGCTCCAGACCTTTCACCAGCTTTGTTGCCCTTCTCTGGACATGCTCCAGCAACTCAGTGTCCTTATTTACTATTCAAATCAATATTTTTAAACAAAGTGATAATAAAGACTCTCACCAATGGCAATAAGAACAGTAATAGCCTATAATTTTATAGTGTGTTTTCCTGTTTCAGTACAGTGTAGACTAACTAATAAATTCCTCCCACAACACTGGGAGACAAGTACAAAAACATTAGCATCCCCACTTTAAAGACAAGCTTTTTGATACTAAGATTAAGAGCAGATCAGTTCAACTATGATTGTAAACCCAGTAGGAAGAAAATATGCATGCAGGCACTCCTGAATACCAAACTGGTACTGGAACTTGCAGATCAAACACCAAGTATTGAGACAGTACATTTATTTACGGCAGCCACCGCAGTGTGGTACAAGCCTTCCAAATGTGATGCAAAGTCCTACCCTGATTAAGTCCTACACCAGTCTGAAACACTGAAAAATGCCTCTGTGGTAACAACATACCTCAAGGTGTTCCAGCGATTCCAAAAGCTGTAATTTCTTAACCTCCTCTTCATTTCTTGTCTCGATTCGGAGAACCTGGTGCCTGCAATAAATCAGTAAGTCTTCAGAAACAGTCTCAAAGAGGGGTCTGGTTGAACTAGCTTGTTATTAAAGTCATGAATTTGGTGGGTAGTTACTTGCACACTACCAGCCAATACGGACTTCTTCAATGCGTTAGACTTAGTGTCACCCAAGAGTTCAACCAACAACCTGCACAGCCAGCCTGCTGTATGTGCACTACATTAGTAACTAGTTAAATGGCAATTTTTAAGATTTCACCATAAACAAGACATCAAGTGGATGGGTTTTTAATTGCTTACAAGGATCAGTCTTGCATCTATTAGTATTTTTTGTCAGCAACTTGCAGAAAAAAAAATACGCTGGTTGAGTTTGCAAATGATCAAATGTTTGGGGAGCACTATACAACAAAGCAAACCAAACACTAAATATGGGATTCATCTCACCTTTATTCAGTTTAGTCAAAGGCTGTTGACAAACTTCTCTGTGTAGTCAGAAGCCGATACCATCAGAGGGTGGCTCACACCATTCCAGGTGGAATGAATCACCTTCTGGAAGTACCTCACTCCACTGGTTACAGAGGTAACCTCAGCTATTGACTTAGCCTATGCATTGTACAACATACTGTGATCCAACGTACTCTAAGTGGGTTTTAGATCACTAAAAACATATATCCCATTCACATACACAGTATTCCAGGCTGCTTGGTAAAACAGGTACAAGCAAACAGTGCCATGAGGACAGGCTGATGAGCTCAGGCTTGCTCAGGTCGATCAAATTGCAGCCTACAACAATTTGAAGGGGAGTTAGAAAAAAGTGACAAACTCTTCTTGGTAGGGGTAGGTGATGATAAGAAGGGAAAACAGCTCCATGCCCTGCTCTGAGCAGGAGGGTGGACTAAAAACTTCTGGAGGTCCCTTCCACCCAATGCTTTTATGAAATGACAAAAGGATCTATGAACAACAAGGGAATGCAGCAGCTGGGAGACAATAGATCCTATTCTGGAGAGCCGGGGGGGGGATTCTGAAGCAAACCTGGAAGCCATCATGAATTAACAACTGGAAATATAGCTCGGGCTCAATGCCGTAGCCAAAAGCACCTATGTGCTCCTCAGCTGTATAGCCTGGGGTTTACCGCAAGTAAGCCGAGCGTTAATGCTGCGTTTGCAAGTGGCATTTGGTGGTTAAAGCATTTGGTGTGGTTTTTTCCATTCTCTTCCCTAGGCACATGCATTTGGCCACTGTTGGAGACAGAAAAAAAGTCCCGTATCCTGAGCCAGCTGGCATCCACTGCAAGGAATACTGGAAAATGGAGATGACTCAGAGCAAATTGACATGAATAACTGCGGAATTGGAAAGCACATCTTAAGACAGGATAAGAAGTGACTTGGTATATGAGCGTAGCTATGTGTGTGTTTATTTGCTAGTGTGGCCTCAGCTGCTAAGAAGAGACACTCATTAACAGCAGTTCCTCAGTCTGGCAAGCTGATGTGTAAGATTCTTTTGATGGACCAAATTAAACCAATATTAAAGGCACTTTACCACATTAATAACTTATTATTGGATTCTCCACCACCATAAGCTTTATTTCTGGATTGGATTCTTCTGTGAAGAGAGGAGGCTCATTAACCACAGCTACTGGACGTCACTGAGGAATGAATTCATGAGAATCCAGTCTACATTATGCCAGAGCCCAGATTAAATGATCAAAATAGCTTCTCCTGCCTTTACAAATCCTAGGGTTTTAGTAGACTATGTGTATTTCTTCTTATTCTTAATCCTTGTATCTTCATATACAGACTTACTCACTGGAATCTAGTGTTCACTTACTACTTCCCAGGAAGTATCTATTCTGGCTTTTATCATCTTCTATTAAGTTTCTTACACAGTCAGTAAGACTGTGAGGAAATATGCCAGAAGGAGATAATTTTGCAGTGCAACATACAGATAAACCTTTAGAATATAATGGTTGGAAATAAGGATTTGAATGGCTTAGAAAGGCTCTGAAAAGAGTTAAGCATTTACAGAGAAATGAGAATCTTTGAAAACAAAGGGAAGCGAGTGATCTTTCTGATCTGAAGCCAGGTTCTGGTCTTTTGGCTCTGCTCTGTGCCAGACCAGATCTATCAAGCTGAACACTCAAGCTTTGCAGTGAGGTTCAGCTCCAGATTAAGGCTCAAGACTGCTCCCTAGGTACAAAGCCAAAACAAAGCCTTGGGTGAGCATGAAATTAGGAACTCAACTCTGCAGCTAGACCTTTCTCCTTAGAAAACCCAAATGAAAGTAGAGAAGGGTTCCTTCAAACACTGGAGTACCAAAGCAACAAGATAAGTCAGTCATAAAAAGCAAAGAATGTGCCCCAAGCAGATTTTGTAAAGTTAAGATCATGAAAAACAACAACTGGATAATATGGCCTTAAATGAAACGTCTTCCACAAAAGCATAACTCACCCAACAAAAGTTTCCAGGCACAAGGAAACCCCGAAGAGGGCACTGAAGATCAAAATCAGCTTCATGTTTGATGTGAAGTTCAACTCAGCCTAGCAAAGGTGAATTTATACAGGACTCATTAAGAAACCCTTTTTCAGATAAAACATATCTGTATTCCATGTGACTAAGTTCTCACATTTGTCAGAGCTTTCAAGGCAACCAACAGACAGAAGGTCAATTTCACCTCCAAAAAAATATTTTCCACTGACACAGTCAAACCTGTAAGGAAGGAGTTGTTTTCAAAGTTTTGCCCGCAAAGCTCCTTGGTGTCCTTTTACACATTTTTCTAGATAGAGGAAAACAGAATCAAAGTGGACATCACCCCAGCTCTCACTGGGGATGAGGAGCTCCACCAGTCGATTCTTGGTCATGGGTTTTCCTCTGACAGATTTCTAACAGCCCGCTCCTTGTTACAACGAGGCAGCCAGCAGAAAGATCTCACTCCAGCCAAAATACTCAATCTGAGTGATTATTTTGAAGAAATAATCAGGTGAAATAATCACTCTGGTGATAGCACACAGGCTCTGGGTCCTGCCTGCTATGCAACAAGTTCTCTCTGACAGACTAGGCCAAGGTGACACTATAAATTTGCTTTTATATACAAATTACACACTTCTAGATATAAGCCAGATAGTTTAAATATATTCTTTATTGAAATTACTAGCATCCCCCCAATCTTCAGTTGGGATGGTTTCATACAGATCCAGCCAGCCAGCGCTTCAAGCAAATTAAGGTTGCAGCAAGATTCGCATGAAAGCAAGTTGTACAGTAGGAGCAGAAAAAAAGCGTTGGGTGAACAATAAGTTAGAGGAGCTCAACTCTGCAGCTAGACCCTTCTCCTTGGACAGGCTTGCTAGACATCCTCCTCTAATGCAGTATCCTTCTCAGGAAGGGGTGACGCAGATTTGAAGAAGTGCTGGAACAGCCACTGCCAGGTCCTCTCAGCTTTACAATGCCCGCAGGGCTGTTCCCTGATCCAGTAGCTCTCTGGGTCCCTTTGCTCTTGTGCTGGTCTCTGTCTACATCTCACTTCACGGGGAATAGACTCCATCTTGTTCGCCTTCCGTAAAGGTGCCCAGATATTTGAGTTGTCGTTATCTACGTTGAAGGAGTAACGGCAACGGGCAGTCTCCTGGCTGAGCTTTGGGAACCATCTCGCTTGCCTTTGGTCGTGGGAACACCCAGCTGCAGTTGTCCCAGATGACAGGTAAGGCCGGAGGGCTGTTGGATACACTTTCTGTTTGTCCCGTTAAAAATGGTACTGAGGAAGAGCCGGGTGCTGACCCAGCTGTAATACCTGCAGGTGGGGTTCCTGGGAACTAACACGGGACAGAAGGGAGACAGTTCAGCTCCTCTGCAGTCAATCTCAGGAAACCGAGGAAAGTCTCTGACAATCCCCAGAGGATCTCACCCGTACCGCTCTCAACATTTGTCAGCGCCTCCCTGAAGAGCCTCTTCCAATCTCCACTCCCATCCTACCCCTCAGCCGCCGGGGCCAGGGTTTCTTCTCATGTGTTCACAGCAGACTCCAAGCAAGTCTTTTGTAAGGCCAGGACTCGAGTTTTTGGGAACAAAGGGAGCCTCAGGCAGGGATTCCGCCTGTTTTGACATAAAGGAATTAGTCATCCTGCAACTGCTGTAACTTGGGGGCACACTGTGGAGAACATATGCGCTGCAAGACGGTAAGGTATGTTCCTGAGAGTCCCCAGGTCTTTGAGGTTTTAACCTAAATCCAGTCCTTGTGAAACAAGCAGATCTCCACTCCCCTCAATGTAAATCAGATAATGTGAGTTTATCCTAAGAGACAGGAACCATCATGAGAATTTCCTGCTTCTAGTGCTACAGTAATTCTGGTGGAAGTCAAATCCCACCTGTAGCTTATGGCCTTCACCATTTCATAAAGAGCTGACAGACTGTCCACACCACCTCCTGTGGAGTCACCCTTTGAAAACAGGAAGGAGGGACTTAATGTATGGCAAAATTATAGCTTGCTTCATTACTCATGCTACATCCCGCATGGATTTAAAGGCTGCCAAGAGATCCCGCCAAACACGACGTCAGGGTCCAAAGTACACCAACAAGCTCCAAGTGCCCTGACGAGCCTCATCTGGGGCCTCCACCCATTGTGTTTAATGAGCTGCATTTAAGCCCAAACCTTTGTACCTACTCGCAGTCCCCACTGAAGAGGCTACAGAAGACTGCAGCACT